ACGTCGTCGTTGTCATCATGATCTAGTTCCGGAATATCATATAGCCCTCTTCGCTCAATCTTCTGAACAACTTTCCAACCATTGCTGGCTTTAGGGTCGTCTAGATAGAATATTTGTTTCGCCATAGTTGCCAAAATGTATGGGTCTTCATCGTACCAATGTCTCGTACTGTTTACTAATAGTAAACCATGATCTCGCTTAACACTTGTTCGGTTATGTGGGTTTGTATCAAACCAAATGCACTTAAACAGTATCACTTGACACCTGTCTTTGTAAAGAAATTGTACTACACTAGTTAGTTTGCCATAAAAATTAATGTCTTCACTGTTGCCTGCACCCGGGACATGAACACCACTATTTTGAGTGGACAACTTGTCATCACGTGTTGCCCCCAAGAACTTGATCCTGTTTACATGACAACCCGAGAACAATTCAACGTGAAGCGGTCTTCTCGCCAAGTTATATAATTCTTCATTGTAAGAGGGTGAATTCAATTCCTTCAATTTGTTCATCTAATATGACATATACAAAAAGTTAACATGTTAGTGTAACCAAATTTAAAGAAAGGCATGAACAAGTTGGAAAATATGCTCAATTCAAACCACATACAACTAACATGTGCGTGAAACCACGAAGGAAACAAGTCATGGTGTTTCTTGGCATATAAATGTGAAGGATATTCCCGCTTCATCAACTGTTCATGATCTTCAAGGTATGGCAAAGCCTCCTCACAATTGTTGAGTATGAACCAATGCGCTACCTCCATGTCATTTTTGGTAAACGATTCACCTTTTACAGGATCGCCAAATGGTCGCGCAATTTGGGCAAAAACAGACAGTTTCTCTTTTCTGACACCACCGTTATTATTGCGTTGAGGACGATTGAAAGCTGTCTCAACATCTTCAAGATACATTGCACAAAAAGTTAGTGACTCATATGCGACCCATGCCTCCACCAGTGATCCTTCGGGCTTTGCCCTGTTTCGAACACATTTTTTCAACTCACCAATATATCTACACAAATAAAAGGTATGCTACAAATTATTCAAAGTGTTCGTTGATCATGAATCTATTATATATATATAATATATATACACGCTTAATTAAGTACCTTTCTATTGGATACATCCATCGACAGTTCACTGGTCCGGCAAGCAATGCCTCATTTGGCAAGTGAATCATCACGTGAATCATACTTGTAAAGAAAGCTGGGGGAAATATCTGTTTGAATTTGCATAAGACGTTCACAATGTCGTCTTGCAATTGTTTAACATCCAACCTTCGCAAACACCTTGCAGTCAACTGCGAAAAAAATCTCGACAACAACACGATTGGTTTCACCACATCAAGAGGCAATAAGTGTCGAATACCAACCGGAAGAAGGCGTTAGGGTATCACATGACAATCATGACTCTTGATGTTTGAAAATTTACACCCCTTCACGTTCACGCAACGCGAGATATTGGAAGCGTACCCATCTGGAAACTTTACAGAAGAAATAAAGTTGAAAAACTCTTTCTTCCCATTCGGCTTAACTGTAAAAAAAGGTGGCCTTTCTTCAATGTACCACCGACTCTCTGCATCCATAAGGATGACCTAATGCCCATTCGTTCCAAATCAAGGCGAGCTTCGATCGTGTCCTTCGTTTTTCCTTCAATGTCTAGAATTGTCCCGACCAAAGTATCAAACACATTTTTCTCAATATGCATAACATCTAAGTTGTGTCTCACTTTTAACTTTGACCAATACGGGAGCTCAAATAACATACTCTTGTGCGTCCAGTTTAGATGTGTAGTTGGTCTGGGCTTACTGACTTTTTGGGCACTTTTTTGATCTTCAGGTAAATAATTCTCCCTTGGAAGCATCCTCTTGATAACTCCCAAAAAGTAATCAAAACACTTGTTTGACAAACGAAACTTGATCTTGCCATGCATCAACTCCACAATTGCTGAGAGCACCGAAAAGTTCTCGCAACCCGGATATAATTCTTGCTTGGCATTTTTCAATAGTTTTTCATAGTTTTTAAATTCCTCACTGTCCATGGTTGGACGACCGTCATCTCCCCCTTCCTCATTGGTGTTGCTTGAGGCGTATGGATAAACGTCATTTACAATATTCATAACTTGTTCACTAGAATCCACATTAGATTCAACAGTCTCCACTTGTGTCACGTATGAAAACGAAGCTTGGTCTAATCGTTCTCCATGATGATACCAAGTAGTATAGGTCTCTATCATCCCATTTCTTACTAAATGAAATCGAACATTTTCGAATGTCTCCCACATTGAGTTGTTACACCTTCTACATGGACATCGGATATGAGTTGAACCTGGGTTGTGTCTAGTTGCGAATTCAGTGAACTTATCTATTCCATCCAAGTACTCAACATCACATCTATTATGATTATGTATCCACTGTCTGTCCATTTTGTCTGCAATCCCAATAAAAGTACAAAAGTTACAACAACTTCAACTACTGTATTGTCACTTTATTCCTCCGGTAAGGGCCCTATCCCATTCAGGAATGCACATTTATGTGTCGTAATTTACGATTCCAATGGATTAAATTTCGACGTGGGCTAATTTCAGCAGCATCTCCTTACAGTTCTTCAAGTGCACGCCGTAGATACATAATATCCACCGTGTACTCGAAGAACAACAGGAATGTTACCAAAATTTCCACTATCGAAACCTAATCCGTGAACCGCAAACTACAACACATAACTATGCATTCCCAAACTGTCCATAAAATGGGACAATTCAAGAATTAATTGGACCGCAGTCATGCTTTCGCATCCATACACGAAATCCAACTAATTCTCAAACGGGAAACTAAGCTTTTCTTGAAAAAAGTGTACAAAGTTAAGTAGTATTAAATCACAATAATTACTAAAGCTAAATAAAATAGATAAAATTAATAAAGATCAATTACAAATTCAATCCCAAAAAACTCCAACATGACCAAAAAAGGGCATAGCACGCAGACAAAGGTACACAATAACAAGTATAAGGAATCTGAAGTTGCTCAAAAATTGGTGTTCATATGTGATCAGGGGAAATAATATAGCTATAGAAAATAGGTTAAAATGAAAACCAAACTCTTGACCGAAATTTTAGATCTTTACAATCTTCCTTAAAATTTTGCTTTTATTTTTTTATATGCTAATTTTAAAAATTTCCTATCCATGAGGATTAAAAGCTCCTTTGCACCATTAATAGATTTAGTAAATCTTCATAGAGGGCATGATATGATATGTTATAAACTGTAAAGATGAAAGGATTGTTCATAAATTTCCAAAGAGTGTCCTATTTGTCTACCCTTCTTGTTTCATATATCGAACTAAACTAGTTACAAGACTGGTTGTAATAGTGTGCCATTCCAATATTTATAGCAAATATGTGGCTGAACTTTTTGATATTTATAGATAGAAACTTATCAATTTTTTCTTTTCTTTCTAAATATCTTTTATAATCCCTTTTAGTTTGGACTATATATTCACTTAATCAAGGTTATTTTTTCTAAAGTATCATTTTTTTTATCTCTTTTTAGTTCATTTTTTTTGTTCAAGCGATAGTGAAATGTAGATTTTCGTGTATTTACCCTCACGTTAGAGAAAGAGTCCCTTTGTGCTACACTGCCATCATCAATAGGAGACCAAATTTTTCAATATATTGGGTATTTACCAAACTGAGTATTTACCCTCAATCATATATGTATGATAAGAACAAAAAAGATCAATTTTTTCAATATATTGGGTAATATCAACCAAAATTTCAATACAATCATATATAAAAATGGATGAATAACATAGAGGTTTTTAAATCACCTCACTCAGTTAATGAGTTCAAGTATAATCAAAGCACAATCTAAACTTTCATCTGGTAGTTGGTACAATAGTTTCTTGGTCACAACTCCCAAAAACATTTAGTAATAAAAACAGATGAAAAGATTATATGGACAAGTGGAGATTCAGCAAATCCAATTTTCAAACACGTGAGAACAATGCAAATGAACAAAAGAATGGTTCAACATACTTCAATGTTCAATAGACGTTTTCGGGAATCAAGATCTTCTGGGGTGAATTCAGCCTGAATGAAGCAAAATACAAAAGCACATATCAGTACATCACATACAAACAAAGAACAGAGTTTCTAATGCGTGGACTTGTATATGTCGAATGCTAACATTACCACAGGACAAGTAGGTACTACCTTTTGATATGGCCGAATTTTCAGCAATTTGAACAAAGTGAGGAGAGGATACAATGAAGTATTAATGATAGGGGAAACATCTAGCCTCCATGCCGAGTGGTCACCCTCCGTAAAAATGGAATGGTGAATATAAAAACTGTAAAAATATTACAATTGAACACAATTAGCACACACAAAACTAAATAAGATAATTCCAAGGAATATGAGGACAGCTGGATAGGACCTCTACCTTACAAAACTGAATAAGATAATTCTAAGGAATGTGTGATCAGGCGACCATGGAGGTTTGCAGGTGAGGAAGAGGGGAAGGCAGCTATGGAGCTTTTGACTTGTATTAGAACACTGGAAAGAAAGATAAAAACGTAGATTTTTGTGTTGCCTTTGCGCGACGAAGCCAGGCGTCGCGCAAAGTTGGAAAAAAGTGGTAAAACAAGCTTGTTTGGCGCCAAACTCTTGCGCGACGCACAAGACGTTGCGCAAGTAGTCTTTGCACGACGGAACTTTGCGCGACGAAGGTACAACTATGTCGTGCAAAATAGTTTTGCGCGACGCACTCCTTCGTCGCGCAAAGTGCCGTCGTGCAAAGACTACTTGCGCAACGTCTTGTGCGTCGCGTCGCGCAAACATACTTTGCGCGACGAAATTTTCTGCGTGGCGCAAGTTTCCGTCGCGCAAACATGTTTTTGTACTAGTGAGTCCTGTCATGTTGTACCGGATTCTCAGCTATTTCTCTAGCAGACTTATTGTCACAATACAATTTCATCGCCTCATTTTGTTTAAAACCAAGACCCTAAAGCAATTTTCGTAGCCAAAGGATCTCACATACACCATGTGCCATACCCCTATACTTGGCTTCGGCAAAGGACCATGATACCACATTATGCTTCTTGCTTCGCCACGTAATCAAATTACCTCCAACAAATGTGAAATACCCAGATGTAGACCGTCTGTCAGTCACATCCCCTGCCCAATCAGCATCAGTAAATCTCTCAATCCTCATATGTCCATGATGTTCATACAAAATTCCTTTTCCCGGGGCATACTTTAAATATGCCAATATTCTCATTACTGCCACCATATGATCCACACTTGGTAAGTGCATACTAACCACACTTACGGCATATGCAATATCTGGATGAGTGTGAGACAAATAAATCAACCTCCTCACTAGCCATTGATATCTACCTTTGTCAACCTGCTCCTGATCTGGATAAATCTCCAATGTGATGGGAGTGTCCACATGTTTACATCCCAGCATGCATGTTTCCTTTAATAAATCCAAAACATATTTACGTTGAGACAAGAAAATACCTCTAGATGACCGGGCGACTTCCACTCCAAGGAAATATTTCAAATCTCCCAAATTCTTCATCTCAAATTCAGCGGCAAGGCTTTGTTCTAATTTCATCATCTCATCCGAATCATCACCCGTTATTATCATGCCATCCATATAAATAATTAAGTTCGTCACTTTACCACTTCTCAAATAATGTGTGATCAGAGTGACTTTGATAATACCCAATCCTCTTCATAACTTGAGTGAATCTACCAAACCATGCATGAGGTGATTGCTTAAACCTGTAAAGTGACTTTCGCAACCTACATACTCCGGGTTTCCCTCCAGCATTATACCCTGGAGGAAAATCCATACATACTTCTTCTTCCAGATGCCCATGAAGAAAAGCATTTTTTACATCAAACTGTTTCAGTGGCCAATTCAAATTTGCTGCTAAAGAAATAAGAACTCGTACTGTATTCATCTTCGCTACTGGAGAAAAATTTCTTGATAATCAACACCATAAGTTTGTGTATAACCCTTTGCTACTAACCTTGCTTTACACCTATCCACTGATCCATCTACCTTGTCTTTGATTGTAAAGACCCATTTACACCCAACCGATTTTTTTCCTTTGGGTAGCTCCGTTACCTTCCACGTATCATTATTATGTAGTGCCATCATTTTTTCATCCATTGCAGCGGCCCATTTAGGATCCTTCAAGGCCTCCTCAACTCGAGTTAATGCTTGGATTGCTTCCACTTTATTTACCCAGACTTGACGTTCTAGTGCAAGGTTCGAGCATGACACATAATTAGCTATTGGATACTTCACTTTCCCTTCAGAAGAAAACCTGTCAGGAGGAACACCACGATTTTGCCTTAGCGGCAACTTATACGTACTTATAATATTTTCTGGATCAGTTACATGAGCATCAGTTATACTTACCTTAAGAATATTAAGAGAAGACACATTGGGTGGCACTATTGTGCTCGAGAGAGAGGGGGTACGGGTTCAGTAGCTGTTGGTTCAACAAACTCCTGCCGATACTCTGCATCATACTTGGCAAATTGTTACCTAGAAACATCAACTGTTTCGGTGCTGCACATCTAAACAGTAGTCCAATTTTTGGCAGGTTGTTGCTGAGAGCCCTTACTGTTTTCATTGTCTTCATTCTCGGTAGTGTCTTGCCGAGGGCCTTCACAATTTTCGTTTTCAACACACACTCCCCCTGAGCTACATATTACATTGTCTAGTATCTCCAACCACTCAAGATTACCACTAGTATTCTCCTCCTGGTGATCAGAAGGTGATGGAATCGAAGCATAAAAATACTCGGATTCCGAGAAGGTAACATTCATGGTCACATACATGTGGCAAGTTTCAGGGTGGTAGCACTTATACCATTTCTGTTGGGGAGCAAACCCAAGAAAAACACATTGGAAAGTACATGGATCTAATTTACTACGATGAATCTTGTGAATATGAACATAGGCTACACATCTAAACACATGAGGAGTGAGAGTATTAGTGGACACTATGGGAACAAATTCTGTCAATACTTGAAGAGGTGTATGGAAGTCCACAACCCGAGATAGCATACATTAATCACATACATGGCATAGGTAACAGCTTCAGGCCAAAAACGTTTAGGCACGAATGCACTAATAAGTAAGGCACAAGCAGTTTCCAAGATATGATGATTCTTTCTCTCAACAACCCCATTTTGTTGAGGAGTATGCAGACATGTAGTTTGAGGAATAATTCCATGATCTTGTAGAAATCGGGATAACTTAGAATTTATATACTCTTCACCATTGTCAGAACGCAAAACTTTAATATCAGAGGAATATTGAGTTTTAATCATCTGTTGAAATAGACGAAACACATCACAAACCTCACTTTTATTTTTCAACACATACAACCACGTCATACGAGTGCAATCATCCACGAAAGTAACATACCACCTAATTCCCGAAGTAGTACTAACAAGGGAAGACCCCCACACATCAGAAAGTACTAGCACAAATGGAGAAGTTCTTCTACTCATACTTAGAAGGAATGAGGCATGATGACTTTTGGCTAAAATACATACTTCACATTTCAATTATGAGTCTTCAATACCACTGAACAAATTAGGTGATATATGTTTCAAATAACCAAACGATGGATGCCCGAAACGACGATGCAATAACAATACCTTCTGTAGATTATTATTACGTGACGCATGAACCAAATTAGCTTTTCCAGGAACCACGTCATCTACATAATATAACCCCTCTCACTTATTGCCATGCCCAATGATCTCCTTTGTCAGAATATCCTGAAGCAAGTAAAATGAAGGATACATTAATACAACACAATCCAATTGTTCAGTGCATTAAGGTACCGACAATAAGTGATGGGACAATGATGGAACCAATAAACAATTATTTAAGGGAAGAGAGGGTGAAAGAGACACTGTTCCCGCTCCAACAACAACAACAACAGTAGTACCATTGGCAGTTGCCAAACACTTTCTATGAGGATCTTTCAAGGACTGAAACAAAGTTCTGTCATACGTTATATGATCCGTTGCACCAGAATCTAAAATCCAAATTGTATTGGTCATTGTAACCACACACACAATAATAATACACGGCAAATATAGTACCAAACAAATTATGGAACCATACGCTACAAGAAACACAAAACACTTGAAAACCAAATTACACTTCCAATCCCTTATTTTCCATTTGTTATGATCAATAGCACACGTCATAAACAGAAGGGACAACCTTTTTTTTTCCACGCATCAATTTAGGAAGCAGCTAGAAAAGCACACTTGCAATTATGCACGACACACAGCGTTCCACGCTGATTGCATAACACAAAACAGCAAACAGAATTGCTGCAGTACAGACACATGGCAAGTGCAGAAAAAAACACACTAGCACTGGTACGGCAAGAGTAGGAAATACAATCCTTGTAGATTTTTTTCCCTTCTTCTCCTTAGCAGTAGAATACACTAGGCTCTTACACGGGCATATATCACAACAATTTCGAGCCGCAATTACACGCAACAACAATTGTTAAAACAGACGGCATGATTGCAAGCTGCATCAATTGTTAAAACACACATGGCACAATTGCAAAGCAGCAACAATTGTAAAATACAAACGGCACAATTGCAAAGCAACACAACAATTGTATACGATGCACGAACCATAGCTCTTGATGCCAAATAGAATTTTACGGCTTAACTTTTCTGTATTCCATAATCCTGAATAAAAGTACATACAATCCTTGTTACAAAAGGAAACAAAAATAAAGGACACAATATCCTTCCTAAAATATGACTATAATAATTACGAAATATTTACATTCCTTTTCTCCTAAAATATAGACTCACGGCAATATTCATCTCCTCAAGTAAAATTTGATTATCTATTAACTTCCCCCCAATTTTTTTTAATTTTTATTTTTCAAATTTATATCAATTGCCAGGATTTTGGAAGAGTGTATGGGTATGGGTAATTTTCATATTATTTTGTGAGTTTGCCCACATGAGGTAGAGCTTTTGTAGACAGATAATGGCTCTATGGGCAAAATTCTTGCCTTTCCAAAATGTTGAGGAGGTCATTGAAACTAAATCAATTGATTAAGTTAAAACAAAATTATAATATTTTAAAATGTTATTTGAATTGAATTGGTAATGATTTTTTTCATATATTTTGGAACGACGAGATAGGTCGTAGGTTGGCAAATTGCTGTGCTCTTGAATGATGTTATGTTTGGCATATTACTGTGATCGGAACCGGGTTGCTTTTTATCTGAATATTATTATATTTTCCAGTCATATCTTATGCGATTAGTCATGTTTGTACTACACACGGTATGAGTTAGTGAACATAATGGGAGGAAGAAGACTATGGGATCCTTTTTAGGTGGAACATGTTAGTTTGCAGTCTTTTGTTAACATTATCTGTATTTGATGTGTTCTCTGAAGATTATTTGTGTTGCTATTCTTCCCCTAATTTTGTTGCATGTTAATGTGTTTGATGCTTTATGTGTTTAAGTAGGCGTGTGATTTTCATCTGAATATTATTATATTTTTAAGTCATATCTTATGTGATTAGTTTTTGCACACGGTATATATAACAACCCGTTCCAATTTACTGTGCATAATTTTGTCCTCGAGTATGTAAAATGACATTTATGCCCTCGATGCTCAGTGACGTGGATGTACGTATATAGTCTAAATTATTTTCTTGCCAATGTGATTAAGTTGAATTCGACGTCACGATAGTGTGGAGGCAAGTTAGGGCCGAGTTTGGTGTGTAGGATAAATGTTATGAAGAATAGGGGGTTGGGTTGGTTCTTTTAGACCCAATTGCACGAATCTTGAATTTGGTAGCCCAATTAGAGCTTGAGGTTGTTTTAGGTGATCAACCTCGTAAGCCACACACACACACACACAGACGTGCAACCTTCATCCTTCATCCCTCTTTCTCGAACCCTCTTCCCTGCCCGTACAATCTGTACGCACACACCCAACCATCTTCATCTTGCACAAATCGAACTATTGGAGGTCATTTTCGAGTTCCTTGCAAGTTCAGGAACTAATCATACTATTTGGTTGACGTAAGGACCTCGAGAACTCTGGAACCCGTGAGCTCTGGAGTGGTGTTCTGTAGCTTCTTGGTGATCGTGGTCATATTACGGAGTTTTAAAGCTTAAGGGAGTCTTAGAACTACTCCATAGAGACTTGGGGACAATTTTGGAGTGGTTTGGACGTCGGGACACCTAGGTTTATCGAGTTGCAGAATTAACGGGACTATTGAAGGATTCTCCGACTGTTTCCTGTTGGTTTTAGGTCTTTAAAGTGGTAGGAATATGTTCTACTCGTTTAGAGCATCATTTTGGTATAAATTTCATGAAATTTGGTTGAAAAACGAGGAAGATATTAAGGTTTAAAGTTTTTCCAGAAACCGGCGATGCAGCTACATACCAGTGAGTGGGCTTTTGATTTTCTATATATACGTATATATGCTTACGTTTTCCCAAAAATAGTTTTAAATGGTTTTTACGTTTTAAAATGCCATGTCATAATTGCTTTATATTTTAGCATATGATTTAGTATAGCTTTGTATAATATTGCATGCTATTGCGGAGGCCAAGGTAAATTTAGGTGA